AAGGAGAAGGAAGAGGCCACAAGACACCTCATGCATCCGCATCCTCCTTGTCCTCAGATTGGAAGTCAGACTGCCTGGGGGCCCTGGGGAGGACTGTACTACACATAATGACTGCTCCCCTCTCTCCTTCCCTTCCCTTTCCCCTTATCTCCTCTCTTCCCTTTCCTGTCTTTCTAGAGGCTGACCTTGAATTCCTGATGTTCCTGTTTCCATCTCCCGAGTACTGGGAGTACAGGTAAATGCATTGTGATAGTGTGTGAATAAGAATGGCCCCACAGGCTCATAGATTTGAATGCTGGGTCATCAGGGAGTAGCACTATTTGGGAGAAATTAGAAGGTCTGGCCTTTGTTAAAGGAAGTGGGTGTCACTTTGGGCTTTGAGGTTTCAAAAGCCCAAGCCAGTCCCAGTGTCTCTTGCTTTTGTCTATGGATCCAGATGCAGAACTCTCAGCCACTTCTCCAGCATCTTGTCTGCCTGTGTGCTGCCATGCTACAGGTCTTATTGATAATGGACTAAACCTCTGAAAGGGGAGCCCGCCCCAATGAAATGCTTTCCTTTGTAAGAGCAACCATGGTTGTGGTGTCCCTTCACGGCAATAGAACCCTGACCAAGACAACACAGAAGTGCATTTTCTGTCCTACACTGTGAAGCCCTGTGTTAGTGGAAACCCTGAATGGACTAAACCTCTGAAATGGTATTTTGTTATAGTAGTGCAAAATGGATGATTACAGTAACAATGGGAGACAATCTTTCCTTCCTCTCTACCTGAGCTGTGCAGAGTTTGGGGGTCTTTGCTAGGTCAAGGCACCCATGCTCTTGCCCACCATGACTTCAGGTCTTCTATTGCTCTGCCCCTCTGCCACCTGGGGAATAGTGGAATCTTCTATGGTCTGGGAACTCCACATCCATATCTCTTTAAAAGTCTAGTCACCACCCCCATTCCCTCCAGTTGGCCATTTGGGCTCTTTTGCAAAGCATTCTGGAGTGACTCTCCTCACCTCCAGAACTCTGAGATCACTTCTAGAACGGCTTAAGAATTTCATACCAGATGGAGTCTCTCACCAGAAGGTCGGATCTCTTCCTGCCAAAATACCCTGGGTAAGGCTGGAAGAGAAGGAGGGGACGGCAAAGGGGCATCCGTCCATTCCAGCAAATGAGTGGCTATGTCTATATCCACCAAGGACTACGCTTTAGGTTTTAGAGACATTATGTATGGATTCTGAGACAAAGACCCAGACACCAGAGAAGAGGGGCAACTGTGTCTACCGAGGCATCTTGACCATGCCTCCGTGTAGAAGCACCAGGATTTCTGTCCAGCTGGCCTCAAGGATGACACAAACCTCCTAACTCCTCTGTTCCCAGATAATTAGCCCTGTCACAGGTATGCAGGCTGTGGAGTGAGTTTGAACAGACAAACTGAGTCCTGTGCAGTTTGACTCTAGATGAAACTGGAGACAAGAAAAGAAGCAGGTAGGTGGGCCCAGATGTGGAGTCAAGTTGACCTCCTCAGCCCCTCTTACTCCTGCATGGAGCTGCAAAATCCCTGGAAGTCTAAACTTGAGCATGGTCTTGCTGAAGGTTATGAAGACAGTGGTCAAGGCAGGAGGATTACCTGTGTTGTCTGGTCTGTCAGCTGCTCAAGGCCTGAGGATGCACACCACAGCTGCATTCTGAGCTTGGACTTCTTCCTACGCTGTACAGCAGGACCAGGGCCCCAGGCTGTGAGTGCTTTTGGGGAAAACTTCAGCAGGACTGCAAGAGATGGGGGGCCTTGTATGGCAGACATTTCAGAAACTGCTTACCGACTTCCCTGTTTCCCACAGCTGTCCCCAAGTCCAACCTGGAGTGACCTGAACAGAAAAGGGGTGCCAAGAGGACTTAAGTAGGAGGGGAAATCTGAGTGGAGGAGGGGTTTATCTGGGCTAGGGCGGGGCTAATGAGACCCAGACCTTTTGCCAGTGTTGTGTAACATTTTCCTCAGAAATTGAAATAGCCAACCCTGCAGAAAAGCTCCTGAAGACAGAAGGTAAACAACTCAAAATAGCTTCAGGAAGTCCCTGAAACTGACCAGATTCACTAGGCTCCTCCCTCCCAAAGAAAGCAATAAAGCTGTAAAGAAGAGTTTCAGGCTAGCTAAACTACAGAGAAGACCCAGACCTAAAACAAGCGGAGAAGCCTGTTGAATCACTTGGAAAGGTCACTCTCTAACCTGTGTTGAGCTGCCTGCAGGCTGTGTAGTGTGGTCCACACTCCCAGCTTCTGTGAGCTGTCGCCAGTGTCTGGGGTGAGCTTTGGTGATGCAGCTGACTGTGAGTCATTTCCTGTCCTGTAGGTAATCCTTCACCCATATTCCTGTAAGGAACCCCAATAAAACCCACTGGTTCACCAAGTGGGACTTTGGTGGCATCCACACCATCTGCCATGGGTTCCCTATCTGAAGTGAGTTGATATGTGTGTTGAGTCTCTCCCCGCCCCCAGTAAAAGTTTTGTCACACAGCAGCCATCTGCGAGTCACCATCACAAACATCCTAGCTTGAAGATCAAGGCAGACCCTGAGCAGGGTATTTTATGACCACTTGGCAAAGGTTGAACAGGGCCAAGATGTAGCACCCAGGCCAGCCCAGCCCAGGGCACACAGCACACCTGCACCAGTAGCATCCACAGTGTCTGGGAACATGGTGAGGTCTCTGCATCTTATAGAATAATGTCTGGAGAAAGGACAATTCATGTTCCCTGAGCTTACTTTTACTTATTTGCACGGTCTCTCTCTCTCTCTCTCTCTCTCTCTCTCTCTCTCTCTCTCTCTCTCTCTCTCTCTGTGTGTGTGTGTGTGTGTGTGTCTTTGTCTGGACTCACATGTGTATGTAAAGAGCTGGAGTTACATGCTATTGTAACCCTCCCAACTTAGGTACCAGGACCAACTCTGGTCCTCTGGAAGAGGAGTAAGCACTCTTAACCCATGAGCCATCTCTCTAGCCTGTTTCCTAAACTTGGTATGTAAATTGTTTAACTGATTCATTACCCACTTTTGGAGACAGCCAGAATGACCTTGAACTCCTGATGTTCCTGCCTTTACCCCAAGTGCAGGCTCAGCTTATACCACCAGACCTGGCTTAGTCCACACACTTGGCTGAACCAGGTGAACGCCATGTCTCCTCATCTCGAAGCCAGGAGCAGTGGCACATGTCCTTAAGCACAGCACTCAGGAAGCTGGAGGAGGAAGGAGACGGAGGAAGATTTGAGAACAGCCTCAGAATTGGCATTAATATTTTTGTTATCATTTTTTTCTGTTTTGTTTTGTTTTGTTTTTTTCAGACAGGGCCTCATGCAGCCATCAAACTTACTGTGTGGCCAAGGCTGGCCTCAAACTCCTGATCCTCCTGACTCTGTCTCCTGAGTGCTGGGATAGGTGTGAGCCACCATGCCTGGCTGTTAGTCCCTTCTTAAATGCTAATTCTAAGAACTTTATTTTGCCCTGGGTTACACAGCTGCCAAGGTCTACTTGGGTCCTGTGAGTCTCAGCCCACACTAAGGTATTCATCGCCTACCAATAGTGGCTCTCACACTCAAGGCTGACTCAGAATCACCTGGAAACCTTGTGAAAACAAACCGTTGCAGGTTCTCATTCCGTTCTGGGATGCCTCAAACCCCAAACACTAAGTTCCCAGGCAGTGGTAGTGCCTCTGGGGTGAGACTAGAGCTTTGGAAACCACTGGGCATTCACTGCTCTCTACCCACTGGGCTCCTGCAAAGCAGTCTGGTTCATACCCTCACCACAGAGGCTTGCTGTGAGGTTCCAGGGAGATAATGCCAGCTGCTGGAAGAACTTTGTCAGCTCACAGGTTAAGGGCTGGAGTCATTAACCTGGTAACCTGCCCGAGGCTGGTCCACAGCCTGGACACGCAGGGTAGAGTATGCAGACATCTGGAGATCTTTGGCAGACCACCTTCTAAAGGGAGGAGCCAGCCATGGAGTGCTCAAGCCTTCAGTCCTCTCCTGCTACACCTTCGTCAGCCTGCAGTACCACAGCTGGCTGGCCTGGGCCACTTCTTTAAGGGCTAAAATCCAGGCAAGTTAGGGCAAGCATAAGTCTGTGACTCGAGACGTGGGAATGGTTCACCAACCACTATGCTGTTAGACTCTAGCCCACGACTTCTTTCTAAAGCTTGGGTTGTGCATCTGTAAAATGGGTGCCAGGAAAGTAGCCTGCAAGTAGTAGAACTCTTTCACAGCTGCTGGATAATCAGCCTGTCTCTGAGCAAGGGGTCAACCAGTGGTAGCTGTTAGTATTTTCAGAAAGTGCTTGGGTCCAAGCCGCCTCCACATGGAACGCGAACGCTCCCACGCCATTCCCGGGTTGCACCAGGATACGCCTGAACGTCCTAGAATGCCAGCGTGGGGCCCCAGGCCAGCAGCCCTGAGCATGAGTTGCCAGGGGGAACAAGATCAGGGCGGAGCAGAGAACCCTGGGGAGGGGCGGAGCCGGGGCGTGGCCTCCCAGTTGGAGGCCCAGGGGTAAACCCCTGGAGAAAGAAATGGGGAGGAGGGAAAAAGAAGGGCTTAGGAGGACCGACAGCGGCCTAGGAGGGAACTGGGAAGGATGAAGGAGATCGCAGGGAGAAGGGCCGTTAGGCAGGGCTGTTAGAGGCTGGAAGGGCGCAGAAAACAAGGCTGGGGTCCTGGACGGGCTACATCCTCTGGAGGCCCAAACCGGGCGGAGCAAAGCGCTCACATGGTTTCACCTCCAGCCTGTAGTGAGCAGGCATGAGCCCTGCTTGGAGCCAGGCTGCACGGCCGCAGGCGGAGCTGGAGGGTTAGCAAAGGGCAGCCCAGGGGTGTACTAAAGGGTGTGGTCGTTTGATTGGACCTGGAGGCCGTGATAGGCGGAGCCTGGTGCTACCTCCCGCAGGGCCCGGAGAGGAGCATTATAGGGGGCGTGTCGAGGGCGTGGTCTCAGGGGGGCGTGTCGTGGCCTGACAAGGCCGTTGAGCTCCAGGACTGACTCCGGGAGGGGGTGGGGGGGGAGAGGGGAAGGACTGAGCTAAGCTGCGCAGTCAGACACAGGCTGGGGCGCCAGCTGGAGAAACCGGACTTAAGGCGTGTGTCCTGGACCGAGAGAGCAGGTAAGAGGGGCCTGGGGGAGGGGGCGGGACAATCGGAAGCAAACTTAGCTTCCCCTAGACTTCAGCAGCCTGCGGAACACGCTTGGCAACAGGTAACAGACCAGAGCAGTTAGTGACTGAGAACGATCATTCGCCTCCGAGTCCCGAACTCCCAAGTTCTGGCTGCGCCACACACCAGCCTTGTGGCCCTGAACCGGTCCCTGCCCCCGGGCCCTTGTTCTTCGGGTTCCAGAAGAAGGAAGTTGACTGAGGTGAGCTCCGTGCTCCCCGGGGTGCCTTTTCTCACCAAAACCCGGGAAGGCAAGGACTAGCAGGTGACAAGCACTGAGGTGCAGGAAGCCACCCGCATTCACATTGCTTAGCTGGACCTCAGCTACAAAATGCCACCGAGAAAAACTACTTATGTCACCCTGTGTTACTGGGTTCCAGAAAGGAACCCCAAAGCAAGGCAGCTAACATTCTTTCCCTCTTTCCAACTTGTGAGAGCTCCACTGAGCTGGACTTGCAGTGGAAAGCTAGCCAGACTTTCCAGGTGAGCTGGTGAAAGAGGCCCCTGGAGGGATAGCAGATGGAGCAACTCTCTTTTTGGGTGAATGTGGAGTAGAAGGGGAAACCCTACAAAACCTGCATTATCTAGCCAAGCTCTGAAACTGCCTGCTGTGCCTAGGATTAGGTGTCTGTGCTGAGCTGCTCCATACCTACCTGGTGGGGGGGGGGGTCCTGGGTCCTGGCTGTGTTAAGGATTTAGGCTTTGGGACTCAGCCAACTTGGATTCCACTCCCCTTCAAACTTCAGTTTCCTCGTCTGTGACTTGGGGGACAATGACCTAACAGTAGAAGCAAGAACTAAGTGGAATTAAGTGGAACTAAGTGTCCAATGCCTGACCAGGCACTGGGTGTCCCTCACTGAGAAGCTCCTGTGATGTCAGTGGACAGGTGATACATTGTTGCCTTCCTTCTGGGAAATAAACCTATCTTTGGGGTTAGACTTGGTTTGGAGGGTTGTTGGGTAGCTGCAACTGTCCCACCCTTGACCTCATAAGAAAGAGTCAGAAACAGCCACCATCCACCATCATCTTGTTCTTTTGAGTGTCAGAAAGTATGTCACCTGGACTAAAGAGTGTCTGAGTTCATAGCATTGCTTGGGGTTGATGGGTGTTGAATTTAATTTACGTAGTGCATTCATACTGCATGCAAGACAATTGAGGGCATGTAGACATGCGTCCCCACAGGGGCCTGGCATTGCCGTCATCCTGAGGTGCTGTGCGACTCCCCCATCCCATTCCCCTCCTGGAGAGACTCTCACAACCTGAGGTAGTGCAGGGCAATCCCGGGGGTCTGTGAGGCTCTAGTGGCTGGAGGCTCAGTTTGGGGCAGGATGAGCACACAGTGTGTGTGAGCAGGCCTGGGCACAGAAGCCGTGGACGGTGCTGCATGTGAGGTCCCTGCATTTTCAGGGGAGTGAGCTCATGCCGTGGGGTCAGATGGAAAGTGCCCAGGAAAGCCTCAGCATTTTGGTGGCATTGGATAAGCATTTGCTACAGTGAGGAAGGAGCCACCTTGGTAGAAGGAGACATTCATTCCCGACCGCTCCTATTCTATGACATGAATGTCAGATATAGCATTAACACTGGGCCATCACTCTTAGGTTGCTCAGCATCTGGGAAGGGGCTTGGATCAGGGAATGTGACACAATATATTAAAAGAAGAGGATGAGAGGGGCCTTTGGGGCCTTAAGGACTGGGCAGTTGGGGCAGAAGATGTCTTGGGCAGAGCAAGATGCTCAAAGGTAAGGTCAGCCTGTTGAGCATGCTCTTGGGAAATGGCTGGGTTGCTGGTCTAGCTCATTGGTTCTCAACCTTCTTAAGGCTGGACTCTTTAATACAGTTCCTCATGTTGTGATGACCTCCAAGCATAAACGTATTTTCATTGCCACTTCATAACTATAATTTTCTACTGTTATGAATTATAATGTAACTATCTTGTTTTCTGATGGTCTCAGGTGACTCCTGTGAAAGGGTCATTTGACCCCCAAATGAAACACTGGTTGAGAGACACTGGTCTAGCTGCAACTGGGCTTTCAGGGTATGCAAAGCGGCGATTGTAGGTGGGATGAACTCCAGAGGGGCTTTGAATGCCAATGAGAAAAGCTTGGGTTTGTGTCATAGCAAGTGAGAAGAACCACTGAAGGCTGTAGAGCAGGGAGTAACACGAGCTTGACACTGTGCGTTACAGATATGCAGGGGCAGGGGACCTAACAAGGCTAGGGGACTTTTGATGCAAGGAGACCACAGACTAGAAAAGCCAGCCAGCCAAGGGTGGTGCAGGGGGAGGAATCCAGCTGTGCCCTGTCCTGGAATCCCAGCTGGGGCTTATGAAGGTGACTACACTAAGTGGGTGGTGGTCACAGGGAGGATGGATGCTATTGAGTGATAGGGTGGTAGCCCCAAGAACGTTCACCTATGAAGAAGTGAAGTCTGGGCTGAGTTGGGGGAGCCTGTGCCAACCAGAAGTGGGCATCTGATCAGGGTAGACAGGACAAGTACCCAGGCTTCCCTGTTCAACCCAGAGAATGCAGGGTGATGGTTCAGACATTTGGGTACCAGTTTCCCACAAAGGATAGCTTTTGGTTCCCTAGGGTTAAAGTGTGACAGGTAGGGGGCATCCCCTAATTTTAGAAGAGGAAGTTCACACTGGCTGGCAACTCCCTCCACCTTGGGGACTCAACACTTTCACTTGGGGATCAAACAAGGTCTGATCAAACATTGGGGGAGGGTGTGTCCTAAGACACTGGCACCTAACCCAAAAGCCTAGCCCTGAACACTGTTTTGATTTAAAATGTCTGGAGCTTGCAGGCTCTCCTGCATTGAGACCTTAACTTTGGTCTCTGCTCTAAACCATTATGCCCACTTCCTCTGCCCTGTGGGAAGCTGGGATGTAACCATGATACAATCAGTAGCATCAAACATCCAGGACTCGGCTCTGTAAGAGGCAGCTGGTGGGAAGGGTGTGTAGAACCCAGGTTGCTTGGCCTGGGCTCCTCTGTGGGACAGGATGGGGCTGGGGGAGGTGACCTGTTTAATCTCAACAGGAAAGAGCCAGCCTGGATCTGAGAAGCCTGAAGGGGAATCCCAGAGGTAAACAGGGCCCAGTGGTCTAGATGTGTCCGCTCCCCTCCCTCAGCTGCTGATCCTGCCCTGCTGAGAGGAGTCTACCCTGAGGCCAGTGCCCTGCAGGGTTCAGCTGGGGTCTGTGCAGTTGACTTACCCCTGACTCACTCCTGGGATTCCCCCTGCACCACAGTGAGTTTCCTGTTAGCAGCTGACACACACAGGACTGACAGACAGAGGCAGCTGAGAGGAGCAGAGGCAACAGGGTCTAGCACTTGTGTTTGTCCATGCTGTGACCGTACTGAGTCCTCTCTGGCCATTCCTTCCAGTCATTGCTTGGTTTTCAGGTGACACACACATGCACACCCCAACCTCAGTACAGTGGGCTGAGCAATGCCCGGCCTCCAGTTCTGTTCCTCCGTTCTTCCCGATAGAACTCAGCACAGAGTATGGCCTGCGGCCCACCACTGCACTCCAGAGCTCCATTTCCTAGCTCTGTAGATGTTTCTGAGGCTCAGTTTCTGAACCAGACAAATGATGATAGTGGTGGCTATGGCTTCATGGGATGGTGTGAGAACACCACAAACACTTGCATGGGAAACATCATTTTATCCCTGGCATCTGGCTAAGAGCTATCTGCATCTGATTGGTTTGTTCCAACTCCACCAGGGATATTTCTACCTTTCCAATATGCACCCATGGGGTGTAACAAGACACTAGTCATATTGAAGTATGCTCCTAGGCTCTTTTACCTAGATCTCCCATGGTTTAACTTCCCTTTGGTCCTGCTGGTTTACAGCATACAGAGGCCTCCTGGGCAGGGAGGGATACCCTGACCATTTATGTACCTTAGCCCACAGTGGTCACTCAGGAAATGATAGCTGGTTGAATAGAGGGTTGTCTTTGGGGGACTTTAGTAGGACTCTGCTCCATGTGAGATCCTTGGTGATTCCTTTGAGGTCTCACCTTCAGGAAGCAGGGCCAACCTGCACCAGGAAGGAGGGCGGGCTGTCAGACAGAGCTTCCGCTTCCCCACAAAGCCTGGCCTTTACTCTCCAGAGAGGGGAACAACTGACTTCCTCAGTTCCAGCCTAGTGAGGGACCTCTGTAGCCCTTAGTGAACCCTTACCCGGCCAAAGGCACCTTCTGGGCAGCAGCTGGCTGCATCAGAGTTACTGCATGCGGGGCTCTGACTGGGGAAGGGAGAGGTGCCCTCCAGGATGCCCAGAGCATCCACAGACCACAGGGCAGTTTGGGAAGTGCTAACCCACCCCGACTTCTTGGCCCATGCTGCAGCTTCTGTGGCCTTTGGGCCCCAGCCCAACTCTCCTTGATAAGCTAGGAGTTCCACATGCAGTAGCTCAGCGTTCTGGGCCTGTGGTCTCAAGGCTAATGAGTTACTAGACAGAGTGCTGGAGGCTGGACATTTGGGCCTGGGTTCAGATCCTAGCTCTGCTGTGGAACTCTTGAGGAACCTGGGAAAGAGAGTGGGCCTCTGCCTGATCGCCTTAATTTTGCACCAATAATGGCCTTAACCCTCACTGAAAGCCCATCCCTAAAATTTATCCGCGTATTGTGGTATAACCTCCTGCTTCAGAGGGCACAGATATGTGGTAATTTGGGGATTCTTGGAGTCCAGGGAACCTTCTGGGGTGGAGCAGTCCCCTCAGTAGGCAATCTGAGGTCCTGGGACAGAGCCAGTGGCTTTCTGGCCCACTGCTGCCCAAGCAGGGACAGAAAATCAGACCCAGAGAGAGCAGGGAGGCAAGACTCCAGCACATCTGGGCTGGAGGAAGGTGCAAAATACCCACGCAGGAGAGGGTGTGGATCGCACAGCCCAGGCAGCTGGGAAGCTGAGGGTCAGGGTGCTCAGTGATCTGGGAACCGGTCT